GGAAGAAACCGAGTACTATCAAATCTGGAATAGATAGTATTCCTGGCTTGCGAGTAAATGTAAAACTTAAGGGTAAAACTATTATATAGAATGTGTTTAAATAAGGATATAAATTAGGATAGTGATATATAGAATTTTTTGTAAATAGGATTGTTACGAAAGATATGGATACCGATATGGAAAAGCTGTTATAAGTGTAAATTTGTGTTTTAAAGATTGGAAAATTCAATAAAAACTTTTTTAAAAAAAGTGAGGGAGATATCTGTAAAATGTCTGCATTGGCAAGAGATGTCCTGTGTCTTCAACGGGGAAAAAACAGGGGAAGGAAGGGCCCTCCACTTAGCTGACCCATCCCCAGAAGCTTCCAATCCTTCCCCAAGGTGGAAGAAAACACTATTAGACTTTGCAAAGCTAAACTGAAGAGGGAGGGGCAGGCAGCTCTCCACAGCATGCCACTCACATAGCCGTTTCTGAGGCTTCAGCAGGCCCACCCTCTCCACCTTTCTCTCTTGCGGCAAAGTGGCCTTTTAGTCAAGGTTGGATTTTTCACACCTCCCGACTGCCCGTTGGCAGAAATCAAAGCAGAACCCAACTCTTGCTGGCCGCCCCTTCAAGCTGAATTTCCGCGACAGGAGTGTTATAACTTGTAACTCACCATCAAGCCATTCTATGGCTGCTTTGGCAGTGGGAGGGTCATCGTAGCAGACAGTTGCATCTCCCTTGGGCTTCCCAGTATCTTTATCAAGATAGATCGTTATCATGGGTTGTCCAGTTCTTTTGTTCATCTAGGGAATGGGGAGGGGGGGGGGAGGGAAAGAACATTTTTACAGCACTGAAAATTTAAGCTGCAAATTGAGGCCAACAGAACAGAATGTCAGGAGGGTGCGGAAGACGGTAATTTGAAACCCATGGAACTCAACAGTTTGCCTCTCTCTCTGTAGCACATCACCACAAGCTCCAATTTTTAAGCAAAAGGTCCAGAAATGGGCATTTATGGGAGCCAAACCTGCCTTTCATTCCTACACAGAATTCAATTCTTTACTGGCCAAGTGTGACTGGACACCCAAGGAATTTGTATACATATATATTAATAGAAAGCGATCCTGGCTCAAGTAAGTAACTTGAGGAAAAAGAGAACTAAAGGGAGGATTTCCCCCAACGATGCCTCGGAGTTACAAGAAGGGGCACCAACAAATCTCTTCGGGATCGGATTTGATACTCACCTTAACAATGCCACACTGTTTGAAGAAGTCAGTCAAGTCCTCTAGAGTCACATTGTCGGTCAGGCCCTGTACGTACACGGAACTGTTATCAAGCTCATCATCCAGGTCTAGAGGTGGGCCTGTGGACACAAATCACGGGTCACCCCAAATATCTACGTCATCGTGTCTTCAGAATGGCTGGATGTTACTTCCTGCTTTTCAAAAGGACCTGTTCCTGGGCAACCCTACCTATCTACCAATGTTTAAACCCAGGGTTACTGTATTAAACATGCTACTCTGATTTATACGAGCCAGAGAGGCTATGCAAGGGGACCAAGGATATGGAGATATCTCTATCCCTCCATCCAGTCTGTCATCTATCTATCTATCTATCTATCTATCTATCTATCTATCTATCTATCTATCTATCTA